CAGGATGATGTATTATGAGAGCGGCTCTGTCTCCAGCCATGCACGTTCTCTCTGGAGGCTGGAGATCCTCTACGTTGCGTAAGAATATGCATGGGCAAAAATGTCTGAAGGTGTTGAAAATTGGAGACCAAGAAGCTGCAAGAAAATTTAAAAATTAACTTTAAGATGTAGGCCTCCGTGTTTGTAAAAAAAAAACTAAATTCAAATGGTCAAAGGTCAAACCAAACCTGGGTCAAATATATATCTTTTTTCTTTTTACTGAATCCATGTTTTTTTTTTATTTCAATGTATTTCTGAGTTCCAACAAAACTCTCACTGCCCGTTGTGTTCCCTCAGTTGGAGTGGCAGACACACCCGCTGGGGTCAGCCTTTCAGACTGTGCCACGTGACGACTGGACGGTACCTGGGTCTGACAGAGGAGCGAGGCCTGCACCTGGTGAATCGAGACAGAGCCGACGTCAACACGACCTCCTTCTGTTTCCGCTCCTCCAAGGTCCGATCCTGACAACTCTAATCGTGGGACTTTCAGCAGAGCAGGTTGGTGATGATGTAGATGTTTGTCTGCAGGAGAAGCTGGAGTCCAGCACCAAACCCAGTGCTGATGGTATGGGTGTCCCGGAGATCAAATATGGAGATTCCAATTGTTTGGTTCAACATGTTGACTCTGGGCTTTGGCTCACCTACCAATCATCTAGCGCCGTGTCATCTCGTATGGGAGTAACTCAGAGGAAGGTAAATATAATTGAGATTCACGATGATAGTCAGAGTTTATGACAAAGCAAACATGGAGGTCATTTCTGTCCGCTGTCAAAGATAACGAAGGTCATGGCGAGTCATCCTCATTATCATCATGTGTTTGTAGGCCGTTCTGCACGGTGAGGGCCACATGGACGACGGGCTGACGCTGTCACGCTCTCAGACGGAAGAGTCCCACACGGCCAGACTCATTCGCAGCGCTGTTCTTCTCTTTACTCGTTTCATCAGGTAGTTAATACTTTCTACATACTCTCACATATTGACAAATACTGCATTTGTGGTGTAGTGTCGCGATTAACCATAAGGCTGATCCTGAGCAGTATTTATTAAAGGCTGTTAGGAAAAATACCCACAGCAGAGTAGTACCACGGACTTCAGCGTCACTGTAATCTCACCCGGTGGTCCAGGTTATCGTCGTACTTTCCAGGAATTTTATTGGTCAATTCTTTTTTTCAATAATTAGGGATGTCCGATACTACAGCAGAGTAGTACCACGGACTTCACTGTCACTGTAATCTCACCCGGTGGTCCGTACTTTCCAGGAATCTTATTGGTCATTTCGTTTTTTCAATAATATACCCGGTGCTTTCCAGGAATTTTATTGGTCATTTCGTTTTTTCAATAATTAGGGATGTCCGATATGCCGATATTGTCCAAACACTTAAATTCCGATTCCGATATCAACCGATACCAATAAAGTTTTGATTTGGTTAATTTTCTGTAGAAACCTGGAAGGTTTCTGCCATCCAGGAAGCCTGTCCATGGAGACGGTCAAGTGTAGTCTACAGGATCTAATAAAGTACTTCCAGCCTCAACTGGAAGGACTAGGACACGGAGCCAGACAGAACGTGACAGCAGCTGTGAGGAATCGCCAAAACATGTTCCAAGATGAGGTCAGACTTTGTTGAAGGTCAGTTATTGATTAAATGTAATGTATTTATGCCTGCAGTAACCAATCTTCGCCTCTAGGGTGTGGTGGTTTTGGTGCTGGATTGCATTGATCGTCTTCACCAATACAGCTTTGCGTCACATTTTGCTGAAACTGCTCAGAGTGAGTTGGGAGAAGAATGGGAGACGACAATCAGCAGTTTCTATCAGCTCCTGGGTGAGGCTGCTCTGCAGCACTTATTCATTTTTGAATCTTCCAACACTATTGATTTTCCTCTGACATCGATGACAAACGTTCCTCCGACAACGACTGGACCTTTATGCTGAATTTTGGCGAATGTGCAAAAAATGCTCTGTTGTCAATAATAATCATCTTTTCTCTCCTTCCGTTTTCTCCCACCTTCAGCTGCTCTGATCCGGGGAAATCGTGCAAACTGTGCACGTTTCTCAAGTTCCATAGATTGGCTGATTGGTAGACTTGACCAAGTGGAGGCCTCTACTGGTTAGTTTAGTCTCTACAAAGATGATAATATTAAAGTTTATATTTTTGACTTAACTATTTTAACTAAGCTAATTTGCTAATGATGAAAATGTTGTGAAGCAGGTTAGGGTGATAAAGGAAAAAGACCCAAATGTTAGTATTGAAGTTGAGGCAGGAAAACAAATTTTTCCTATTATTTCTGAAATCTAAAAAACAAAACAGTTTAAAGATTAAGTTACAGAGACAGGGACGGAATAGTCTGGACAGTCTGCACGTATTTAAAACACATCGTATTATTACACACACATGGCCGAAGTTCCAAGAAAGCTAAAATGAAACTCAACTCATTTATTTTGATAGACGTAGGAGGTTGATTTTTTTCCACTAACAAAGCCACTGAAAAAAGTGTTTTTTTGTTGAGTGGTGTTTTAGATGCTGGTCCTGTTGTGAGGAGGTCTCAGCAGAGACTGAAGGTGGGGGTAAAAATAACTGATCTCCAACAAAAATGAAAGTGGCAAAGGGTCATGGGGGGAGGAGTGGTGGGTGAGCTGGTGGGCGGCAGGGGAACAAAAGGCATACGGTAGAAAAGTAAAGGCTACAGACAGAGTCAGGAGGCTGAGGTGAAACAGAGAGAAAAAATACTACAAAAACATGAGGAAAGCTAAAATAAAGAAAAGTCCCGTTGTCTGTTGTCTTTTATAGGAGCTTTGGAGGTTCTTCACTGTGTACTGGTGGAAAGTCCTGAAGTTCTCAACGTAGTCAAAGAAGAACACATCAACGCCATCGTCTCTTTTCTAGAACAACACGGCCGTAGCCCTAAGGTGAAGGACAGACATTTGTTTCAGTGAACAAATGTTAAAAGTGATAAAAAAGAATCATAATAATAAACCAGTTCTGTGACTTGTTTATTGAGCTGTCACTGTATGAGGCTGACTTTCCAGGTTCTGGAGGTGCTGCGATCTCTGTGTGTGTGCGCCGACGTGGCGGTGCGGTCCAATCAGAACCACATCTGTGACAGCCTGCTGCCAGACAGAGACCTGCTGCTCCAAACACGTCTGGTTAATCAGGTCACCAGGTACATTTGGGACGTTTTCTAAAATCAAAAACAATTTGTTTTTCTTAACACTAAAAAAAACCACAGATGACCCAGGGTTTGTGATGCACTTTTTAACCCTGTGGAGCAGTGGTTCTCAATCTGTGGTACGGGTTCCGCTGATGATACTTGTACTCCTTCTATTGGTTGGATGGGAGAGGTCTGTTTTTTTTTCTTTTTTACACTTTGTTAGCATCTATTGAATCTATAATCTATCTATAAAAAATATATAAAATATATTAAAAATATAAAAACTCAGAATATTCAGATGTGGTAAACGGTGTTAAAAAAAAAAAAAATCTCTCCGTGATCCCTGAAAGAAAAAAGAACATTACAGCCACCACCTCAGGCTGTGGCCCACAGATGAACACCCCTGTATCCAGATTTTTACACAGCTGACTCCTCTTCCTCATCATTCTTATTTTCGCCCTCTTTCTTTTTTATTTTGTCCCTTTCCTCTTTTTCTTCTTCATACACTTCCTTCTTCTCTGCTTCACGATGTTTCTCCTCCTCCTCCTGTTTCTCTTCTTTTTCTTTTCCCTTAACAGCATCCTGACCACCATCCTCCTCCTCTTCCTCCTTGTCCTCCTCCTCTACTTCTTCCTCCTCCTCCTCATCTTCTTCTTCCTCTTCTAGTCCTACATTTGCGTCCACCTCTTTGTTTTTATCTTCTTCCTTCTCTTCTTCTTTCTTAGTCACCTCATCTTCATTTACCTCCTCTTCTTCTTCTCCCTCCGTCCCCTCTTCCTCCTCCTCATCTTCTTCTTCCTCCTTCCCCTCTTCCTCCTCCAGTCCTACATTCGATTCCACCTCTTCCTTTTTATCTTCTTCCTTCGTCACCTCATCTTCATTTACTTCCTCTTCCTCCTCTTCCCCTCCTTCGTCTTCCTCTTCCTCATCTTCTTCTGTGTCATCCAGCTCCTCGTCTGTCACCTCCTCTTTATGATCCTCCTCCTCATCTATTTGGACCAGTCCTTTAGGAGTTTTCCAGGATTCCGTCCACTCCTCGTGGTCAGTGATGTCTTCATCGAGCGGTGAGGTGAGGAGAACCTTCTTGGTATGGAATCTGCTCTTCATGATGTCACTGTGATGACGATGGGACTTGACTGAAGTCTTGCACCACCTGTGGACATAGTGTGGAATTGAATGTGTGACTGACAGCTGACATATTTAAAAGGACCACTGTGAAGCCCCACCCACCTGATCTGCTGCCTGTATTTCCAGCAGGAGCTCCAGCTCGTACGACGCTCCTCGTCTTCTCCTGGAAGAGCAGCAGTGAGCAGCCAGGAGTCGCTCCATCCTGGCACGTAGAAGTCAACGATCTTCATTGTCATCATCAGTGCTCGAAGAGTGGTCCAGGTGGGTGGAGTTAGGCTCTCCTTGTCATTAGCGTCTTCTTCATCGTCATCGTCATCATCATCACCATAGTTATCATCATCATCATCATCATCATCATCATCATGTGGTGCACTTTTTAACCCTGTGGAGCAGTGGTTCTCAACCTGTGGTACGGGTTCCGCTGATGATACTTGTACTCCTTCTATTGGTTGGATGGGAGAGGTCTGTTTTTTTTTCTTTTTTACACTTTGTTAGCATCTATTGAATCTATAATCTATCTATAAAAAATATATAAAATATATTAAAAATATAAAAACTCTGAATGCAGCATCCATATTTAAAGTAAAAATCTGTACTATTGTGGCTCCTATTGTTCAGTTTTTAAACAGAAGCAGAATATTCAGATGTGGTAAACGGTGTTAAAAAAAAAAATCTGTGATCCCTGAAAGAAAAAAGCACATTACAGCCACCACCTCAGGCTGTGGCCCACAGATGAACACCCCTGTATCCAGATTTTTACACAGCTGACTCCTCTTCCTCTCCTTGTGAGCAGGACTCTGTTGCAGATGAATGAACTCATTCCATCTCTGTTACATGACGTTTTCTTTCTTCAATCAAATCGAATTTCTTTGAATGTACTTTCCCTCGGAGAGTCACTGAATGACGCAGGTTTTTTCCATTATGCCCACTCCTCCTTTTGTTTACCTGAGTGCTGAGATCCGACTGCAGCGAAGGCCTTGGGGCTTTCGATGAGTTGCGCTGACAACTCTTGGTTCAAGATACACTCGAGCTTCCTCCGTTGTTCGGCACGTATTCTTTTCTCCGATGGACTCGACCTGATTGAAAAAAATGACTCTCCTCCTTCAGTGCTGTCTCTTAATTTGCTGAACAAATGTTCCATTTTCTGAATACGTCAACATCAGAGAATGGATATTGACGTCAGAGTCATCTTTTCAAATTAGTCTGGTTAAATAACCTGTTAGTCACCGTTGGTTTGTTCTTTTCTTTTTTTTCTTCTCTTTGTCTCATCATTTTGGCCTTCTGTCATTCTCCAACTTGTAAAGTGTAACAATTTTTCTTCCTTCCTTTTTTTTTTTAAACTCAATATTCTCTCCGTTCCGCAGCAGCTGTCTTCTTTCATCTCACTTTTCTCTACCAACAGCCTATTTTTTCCCTCTGGCTTTCTGCCTTATTTTGTTTCATATTCCTCACACCTGCGCGGTCCATTCCCCGACTCTCCCTTCCTTTTGGAAGAGCCATTTCTCATTCTATCACTTTTACTTGGTGTTCAACTAAATGTCTCATTAGAACATCTGCTCTCATTCGTCTCATCACTTTTCTCCCTGTTTTCCATCTTCTTCCCTTTTTACCCACCACATTCTTCCAATTCTCCCTGCCGGTCCCTGTCACTGTTCTGCTGTCTTCATCCATTACAGTCCAGTCTGATCCTAACCAGGTTCTACCTTCGCTCTCTGGACTTTTTACCCCCTCTCCTCATTCACTCTATTCCGTTTTCTTTGTCCGTGTTTTCAATGTCAGGAGCGCTTTGTTAAGGACGAGGTTGTTGTCGCTGCATGCATTGATTCTCCAGACACTGTGGGTCAGACCTCATTTGTAGCAGCGTCGCTGATTGTCTCCCTTTTTACTGGTGTTTTTTTTGTTTTGTTTTCTCATGCGTTGAATCATCAGTTTGTCTGGGTATTCAGTTTGAAGTGTGAGGGTTTTTATAAGGTCAAAAGGAAAACCTGTACCAGAGCCAGATACACTGTACATGTTTGAGTGTTCCTCTTATTTTTCTTTTATTTTACTTTTGCAGTTTTCAGAACTTTAATTTTTATTGCCAACCCCTGCTGGCTAATAATGGTATTAAAAAAACACATTCACTCCAAACCCTTTTGAGACCTTTTTTTCTTATTAAATTAAGTCCTGACCTCAGATCATTAAACAAATCATTAATAAAATCTTATCTCCTCTTTTGTCACCTTAACAACCACAGCATGAGACCAAACATCCTTCTGGCAGTGGGAGAAGATTCCGCTCAGCCCCGCAGATGGTACTATGAGCTGGTGGTGGATCATGTTGACCCTTTTCTCACACCTGATCCCACTCACCTGCGTGTCGGCTGGGCTTGCAACGAGGGGTACCACCCCAGACCCAGTGGAGGAGACGGGTGGGGGGGCAACGGAGTGGGAGACGACCTGTGTTCTTATGGCTTTGACGGGCTTCACCTCTGGTCAGGTGAAGATGAAACACAAATAGTAGCGGCTTATGGTCCGGAAATAATGTACAGCCATTCCAATGAAAACAGTATCAGACGTATGTTTTGGTCACTGCTGGCCGTGTGTCCTCTCAGGCTGCGTTGGTCGCAGAGTCAACTCTCCCTGCCCTCACCTGCTGAAGAACGCCGACGTGGTCAGCTGCTGTCTTGACCTCACCGCTCCCTGCATCTCTTTCCGGGTCAACGGTCTACCTGTGCAGGGCATGTTGGAGAACTTCAGTGTCAGTGGCCCTCTTCACCCTGTGGTCAGCTTCTCTGCTGGAGTCAGGTCAGTACACATCACTGTCATCTGGCCTTCTTTTTGTATTTATTTTTTATGTTTTCGCCCTCACTAAATGTCTTGTCTCTGAACTCAAGGTTTCGGTTCCTGTTCGGGGGAAGACACGGAGAGTTCCGCTTCCTGCCGCCGCCTGGCTTTGCACCGTGCACTGAAGCTCTGCTGCCTAGAATGAAGCTGAAAGTGGAGCCGTGTCAGAAATACATTTTGGACCAGGAGCTCGTCGGCCCCTCCATGCCCGTCACTCCAGTGGTCTTCACTCCAGCACCAGTAGATATCAGCAAGGTGGGACTCAGACCATGGGTCAGCAGTTAGAAGGTTGCTGGTTGGATTCTTCTGGTTGGCATTTCTGTGTGTGAAATTGTATCTTCCGTAGACTCCTCTGCCACCTCAACTTGAGGACATACGGGAGAAAATGGCTGAGAACATCCATGAACTCTGGGCAATGGACAAGATAAATCAAGGCTGGACATATGGACCTGTAAGTGAACATCATTATCTACTATTTTTAAACTAAAATACAACTTTAAAACCTCCGGCTTCTAGAAACACTGGACAGTGAATCTGAATCTAAACAAAACCACTTTTCTCCGTCTCACAGATCAGAGACGAGAACAAACGACTGGATCCTTGTCTGGTGGAGTTCTTCAGTCTCCCAGAGCAGGAGAGGAACCAGAACCTTCAGGTGGCCCAGGACACCCTCAGGTGACATGTCTTCATTATTGACTAGAGAAATGATCCCACTAGAAGTCGAGTGAAAACAGATGTTGGTCTTTGTAGGAAGAAATTAAAAAGTTTTGTTCGGAGATAAACACAGATAAATCACTCATAGATAGAAAAACAGATGCATGATTATTTCTGTAAAATTTGAAGACGACTTCCAACGTGTAAATCACATCAAAAAATGTTTGCCTACAAATTTTAATTTTTCTCTTTTTATGCTAAATGAAGAACTCTTCTCGCCTTTGGATTCCAAATTGCTTTGACTGATGACAGAGCTGCAGAAAAAGTCAAATACACAAGACTCGGTAGCAGGTACTGTATGTACAGTCACACTGTAAATCCTACCAAATAACCCTAAAGAACTGAGGAAACCCTTTAAGTGAAAAGACTTTCAACTCTGTCTTGTTGCTGGTTGACCAACCTTCAAATATATTCTTATATTTTCGTTCTAAAATGCCACCTCTCTCGTGCTCTCAGGTTTGACCAAATATATTCTTATATTTTTTTCGTTCTAAAACGCCACCTCTCTCGTGCTCTCAGGTTTGAACTGCCCAGTGGCTACAGACCTGCCCCGGTTGACTTGAGTCATGTTGCTCTGAGTCCATCCCACGAGGACGTTGTTAACATGCTGGCAGAGAACGATCACAACGTCTGGGCCAGAGACAGAGTCAAACAGGGTTGGACTTATGGGCCGCAGCAGGTTTGTGACATCACTGATCAGACAGACGGTGATAAAAGTCATATTTATTATATTTTGATTGTTGGTAAATTCTGTTTACAATTTTGGATCAGGGTATGATCTCTCTGATCCAACGGATCAAACAACAAACTGTGACATGTGACGTATTTTCATCTATGAGCAGGATATTAAAGCTAAGAGGAGCCCGTTCCTGGTACCTTACAGCCTCCTTGAGGAGAGGAGCAGGAAACTGGGCCGAGAGAATGTGAGAGATGCGGTCTGTACCCTGCTGGTCTACGGTTACAGCCTGGAGCCCCTCAGCCCAGAATGGAGTACGTCACAGAGTCATTTGTTCATTGATACCAGACGTACGATAATAATCTCACTTCCTGTCGATAAATAGTTTCAAAAGTCTGATAAATCGTCTTTGTTCTCACCTCTTTGTTATACGGCTTTGATAACTTGTTCACTCAACAGGTTCTGGTTCCTGCTTAGAAATAATTAATAATGTTTAGTCGGAAAAATTACATTTAGGCTAAGATATGCAGATTTTATCTGATTTTTTTATTGGGATTCCCAACCGCTGGTCCGTGGCCCACTAATGTGCCATGGAAAATGATCCAATTTCACTCAAATGGTCTGAAAACTGGTATTTATCTAGTGGAAATAATTTGTCATTGTACATTAATGTGACACGTTGGTAGAACAATCAAACACTCTTCCAACAGGTGGCACCAGATGGCTGTAAAAAAAATATAAAAATAATATATTTTATTTTATTAAGATGTATATTTTAGATATTTTATTATATATATTTGGAATTCAAAGCACACAAATGTCTATATTTAAATGGGTTTGAATACAAAACAGTTCTTTATTTTTTTTACATCTTAGATTTTTTAATTTTTTTTTTTTTTTCCAGACACATCACACAGACGTCTTCAGTCTGTTGAGAAGTGCAGAGTGTTCCGACCAGATAAATCGTACGCTGTGATCCAGGGAAAGTGGTACTTTGAATTTGAAGTTCTGACAGCAGGGAGTATGAGAGTGGGCTGGGCCAGACCGGGCTGTGGTCCTGATAAAGAGCTGGGCTCAGATGATCAGGCGTTCACCTTTGATGGATCTGAGGTGAGCTTTTGGATGTTTACTTCTCTGACTGGAATATACTCACATGAGACTGAACAACAACAGTCCAGTCAAATTCACCACTGGCACAAAGTAACACATTCATTCTGCGTCGTCTGACGTGAACTTGGTTCTTGACCAGGAACAATGACCATAGAACCCGTAGTTAGTACGACTGACCACCATTAACCATGTTTCAAAATTGGCAAAATATTTTCACAGAAGTGTTTTTCCACAAAACAACTTCTTCCCTGCTGCAGGCTCAGTGGTGCCACCAGGGTGCAGAACCCCTGGGACGGACATGGCAGAAGGGTAATGTGGTCGGATGTTTGTTGGATATGGATGAACGAACCATGGTGGTCACGCTGAACGGAGAGGTGCTGTTTAATGACAGAGGATCTGAGCTGGTGGCCAAGGACTTCGAAGCCAAAGACGGTTGGAAATTGTTTTGGTTTACTCTATATGTGTGTGTATATATATATATATTTTTTTTAAGTGAGCATATCCACACTCTCTAGGCTTGCTGCCGGTGGTTAGCGTCGGTGTGAACCAGGTTGGCAGACTGAACCTGGGACGACACGCGGACTCTCTGCAGTTCTTCACCGTGTGTGGTCAGCAGGAGGGCTACAGACCGTTTGCTGCCAACATGGCCAGAGACCCGGCTCTGTGGATGAGCTGGAGACAGCCTCAGTTTGTCTCCATCCAACCAGATGATCCCAACTTTCAGGTTAATTTAAATGTAGAACGTGCGACGCTCTGGGGCCGTCGACAGTTAATGATGTTATTGAATATGTGAACTAAATTAAATTAATATACTGAGACTAATACGTGAGCAGAATTATGTGGATTCTATGTCCAATAATTCCACCGTTTGTCCACTTGATTAATACACAATAGATACACGTGGTTATTTACACACACTATGGGGAAATGTTTTTGTTTCACTGTATCATTTTGAGCTTTAAATACCTTAATATCTTGATACCATGATTAAAGGTTATTAATCATGGTATTAATTTGTCATGATGAATTATGATTAATCCACAGATACCCTGTGATTAATCAGGTAAAAAAAATTGAATTGTTTGACAGATACTGTCTTAACATCTGACAGCAATCGTCTAATGAAACGATGACGCTGGAATTTTGTTTCTATCTCGTTCAAGGTCACGAAAATGAATGCCCCCCCGGAGTCGTCTCCCAGACTCAGGGTCTCTGAGCGGGTGTTTGTCCAACATGGTGAAGGCAGTGGGATGACCTTCTACAGACTCAGCGTGGCGGTTGATTGCGCCCCTGTCCTCAGCAGTCCTGCAGCCAACGTGCTGCCATCGGTCGCCAACGCGCTGCCTCCAGGTTCACATACTGTTACATCATGTCATAACAAACACTGGGCTCGGGTCGGCAGCAGGGAACTGGACTGGACCAGGGTTGTTGTGTTTGTCATAAAACACACAGAGTAAATGACACTTTGACTTCTGCGGCGTGTACAAATTACAGAGCTAATAAAAGACTTCGTTCTGAACAAGATAATTTGTTAATGAGCTTTAATGGCTCATGTTTTCATTTATCCAGATTACTGGCATCGTGACCTTGAAGGGATGCTCGGCTGAAGCTCCCCGAAGCCTTGCTCTAGTTAATCCCCGTCCGTTGTTCTCCTCAGGAAGGAGAGATCAGGACGAAGTGGACTCTGACTTTGAAGTGCTGATGAAGACGGCTCACAGCTTTGGCGGCTCAAGAGACGAGCTTAACCGCAAGGATCACGGCCCAGACAAAACATCCAGACTAAAGCAGAGGTACCTCGAAAAAAAGACAGAAACAATTTAATTAAATGAAAAAAAAAGAATGCTGTTCATGCACTGATTCCTTTACAGCCAAATAACAATGCTTGTTCGACGATATAAAATATTTAACTCGAGGAATTATGATTGACTGTGTTTGTGTTTTTCAAGGTTTCTGTTGAAGAAGTCTAAACCAGGCCTCGTCAGCAGCAACTCATCAGCACGCCTCCTCGAAGACGTACTTGTTGACAGAGATAACAATCATCGACAAATACAGAACTCCAGAGTAAGACGCTCTGACTTGACCTCGAAGAGTAACCACAAACTTGTTAAGAAATGTACAAATTAACATCCAAATCATCCAGCTCTTGGTTTGTAAATGTGCAGTAATTACCTGTAACATTATTACATGTAGTACACAAATACCAAGTACTAACACGTCAGCACTTCTGTTCCCCTCAGTATTACTATTCCGTCAGGATTCTTCCAGGCCAGGAGCCGCTGAATGTGTGGGTCGGCTGGGTGACCTCTGACTTTCATGATGATGACATGACATTTGACACTGACTGTGTCAACACCGTGACTGTCACCCTGGGGGACGACAGTGGAAAAGTCCAGGAAAGGTCAGTACGTGTCACATCACACTCACACTGTTTCTGCAGAATTTTAAAATCAGTTTCCAACTAATTAAAACATTTTTTTCGCGTAGCATGAAGCGCTGCAGCTGCTACATGGTTTGTGCAGGAGAAGCCACGGGTTTGACCCAGAGTCGAAAAAGTGCCGGTTTAGAAATTGGCTGTTTGATTGACACGTCCATGGGGCTGCTCACGTTTACCTCCAGTGGAGTGGAGATGACCACCTACTACCAGGTGAGTCACACAGGAAAACGACTGACAATATAAAGTCATCCACTCATCATTAGGAAGATTGTGTCAAAATATTTTCCTGGAAACTTCTTTCTCTGGTTTATTACTGCAGACCAACTGATAAAAAATGTATGGCTTTGCTCTGAGCAAAATTCAACACTGATTTCACCGAAGTAGTGTTTTTTATTTTAATTTAAAAAAAGTACTTCTTGTGAACAAAGTCTAATAAAATTAGTTTTGTAAACACGTAACAAAAATAATGTTTTTTTTAGGTGATTTGTTGGTGTTAGCGGTTTGTGGTGTATTTGACAAAAATTTCAGACTCTAATTTCTCTGGTGGTAAAACAAAAACAAACTTTAAAATTTCAGACTCTCTGGTGGTAAAACAAAAACAAACTTTGGTTCCATCAACTCTGGAACCGATTTTAAAAGAGACTTAATTCTTTTAATTCTTTTGAAATGACAAATAAAATTGTTAAAATCTGTGTAAATGTAGAACAGAATCAGTCCCAGTTCATGACGATGACGCCTTGACTCAGTAGTTAATTCAAGGCCTATTTAATGAATAAAGAGGCCGGAACCACACAGGGGTGAGTACTGTGTACTGTTGGCGTATTTTTATTGACTCCTCAGGAGGTTTGTTTTTGTGCATCTTTTATTTTTATTTCCGCTCTGAACGTTCCTCCCGGTGCCGTCAGAACCTCTCTGGACAAGTCCGAACTCGCCTGGACTCATCATTTTTGTAGGAAAGGGAAGATTACAAATCCTCTTCCTGTGGGATGCTGCACCTGCTGCCTCCCCCCTTTCCTCCCCCTCTCCACTTCACTCCCACCACCTTGGCCTGAAACCATCTGCCTTTGTTTCCAGCCAGAGCCGACTGGTCTCTACTAAAACCCCGAGTTGTTCCAAGGGTCAGGGAAGCTGCATCAGCTGCACGTCCACCAACACGCCAACTTCACCTCACCTTGGCCAGAAGTCCGGCTTTTTCCCTGACACTGGTGGCCCTTCTGTGAAACAGGAACACACCAGATGTTGGGTTTACTTTGGCACCGAGGCTCAGGATGCCAGACTTACGATTAGTTTTTCTTTTTGTCCTTTCTAAAAGAAAAAAAGTCAATTTCTATTTTGGCAGTAAAGTGAGTCTTTTTTAATCAAGCGTGGTGTAAGAAATTATTATTATTTTTATTTTTAAAAGCATTTCTGCAAAGCCAAAAAGAAACACCAGTCTGACAGTAGACGAGGCGTACTAATTATTATTATTTTTATTTTTGAATGCAAAAAGAAGCACCAGTCTGACAGTAGACGAGGCGTACCTAATAAACTGGCTCCTGAGTGTGCGTACACACCGCAAGGCCCATTTTTTATGACAGTAATTAAAAATGATATTGCAGTTATATTAAGATACAATGAGGAAACCCCATAGTAACATAATTGCTCTTCTCCGCTCGGGGAAACAGCTTAAATTCTTGCGGCTAATATTGTTTTAATTTAGAAATTACATGTAATCTGATATCATTTCGCTCTCGATCAGGTGGAGGCCAACACTAAACTGTTCCCTGCTGTGTTTGTGAAGCCTACGACCAGCAGCATGTTCCAGTTTGAACTGGGAAGTATGAAGGTGAGTTTAAATCTTCAGTCATTTCTTATCGTTTCCACTGTTGTGTCGTGACTTGTTTCTCTTCCTTTTCTCCCAGAACGTGACTCCACTGTCAGGTCTGCTTCGCAGTCAAAGCACAAACACCTCTCCTCAGTGTCCTCCCAGGGTTCAGGTCCAACAGCTGAGCCCGGTCACATGGACTAGAGTACCAGACCAGGCGTTACCGGTGTTGGTGGAGCGACCAGATGAGCACTGTGGCTGGGCCGTGGAGTGTTCTGAGCCTCGGCAGGTCCTGAACCTACACATACCTGATGAAAACAGGTGAACAAAAACTATAATGATTTGTTTTGATGCTGCCGACGTGTCTTTTTGTTGCACTGTGATGTGTTAATAACTGTCTTTAAGTTTTCAAAATCTCAACCCGCTTTCCTCAGCAGTTTCATTATTTTTTGTTGACCAAGTTTTTTTTCTTCTTTCCATCTGTAGGAGTGTTGACATTTTGGAGTTGTCTGAACTCGATGAACTCCTGACCTTTCACCACCACACCCTCCTCCTCTACGCCTCCTTGTGCACCCTGGGGAACACCAGAGTGTGCCACGCCCTCTGCAGCCACGTAGACCAGTCCCAGATCCTTCATGCGGTTCAGAATCCTAACCTGCCCGGTCCACTGCGCTCTGGTTTTTACCAGCTCCTCACTGAGGTGAGTGTCCTGTTCTTTTTTTTACATGACCCATATGAATCAGACCAATACAGCCTGGAGTAATCCTGTGTTTTGCAGATTTACCTGAGTGGTCACACCACAGCCTGTCTCACCATGAACCAGGAATACATCGTACCCATGACCGAACAAACCAGACGAGTCGCCCTTCGTCCCAGCCCTGCTGACGCTGGTCGAACTCCTGCCACCATTCCCAGCACACGTCTGAAACCACAGATGCATTTTTCAACTCCTTGTTTTGTGAGAGCGGAAGAAGATGGTGAAAAAACGCTCTGCGGTCCAGATATTACCGACAGCCCAGAAATGTCTCTGGACATCCTGAAGAGTCTGACCGTGGAGATGCTGACGGAAGCAGTGTGGGCCGTGGGTCAGGATGTGAGGGATCCTGTAGGAGGCAGCGTTGAGCTTCTGCTTGTTCCACTTATAAGACTTTTCCACGACCTCCTTGTGATGGGGGTGTTGGAGGACCAGGATCTGGGAACAGTTCTGTGTCTCATTGAGCCTCAGGTCTTCTCTGTCGATGGTGAACCGTCTGAGGAAGACGGAAACGATGTTTCTGCTAAAGGTCTTCTTCACATGAAGCTTCCAGAGGCGGTCAAACTCGAGGTGATCAAAAAAGATATGATGGCATAAATAATTAATTTAAGAAATAATTTTAAACATCTGTTTTTTTTTTTTGTCTCTGCAGCTCTGCCGTCTGCTGTCGTACCTGTGTGACAGTCAGCTGGGTCACAGGGTCGAGGCCGTGGTCGCCTTTTCCGACTCCTTCGTGGGGCAGCTACAGGAGAACCAACGCTTACGCTACCACCAGGTCATGCGGGCTTTTAACATGTCTGCTGCCCTAACTGCACGGAAAACCAAGGAGTTCCGCTCCCCCCCTCAGGAGCAGGTTCAGTGAAACGACAGCAGAGCAGCAGTGTTTTTCAGGACGAGGTGTTTAATCTGTGTCATTTTTGACATTTGTCTCCAGATCAACATGATGCTGAGCTTCAGAGATGAGGAGCAGCAGGAGGACGGGTGTCCCTGTCCCGCGGACGTCCGACAGCTCCTGCTGGACTTTCACCGCAGCCTGAGCGCACACTGTGGTCAGAACACTGAACGTGCTACTGTCACTTTGTGTTCAATTTTCAACCTTTGAATAATTTAGTAACAATTTCAAATGGTTTGGTTCTTCCTTTACCACACAATACTCAGGTTATTTGCACAGTTGTTAGTGTGGTCTGTGTGCTAACATGCTAACGTCTCTAAGACATCAAGAAAAGCTTTGACAGGGTTTGTCAAACATTGAGCTGTGTTGTCTTTTATTTGACCATTTTTTTAAACATTATTTTTTAAACCATACTTATGTACAATACTTATGAAAATTCTGATTCTGTGTCACAATCAGACACAAATCAGACAAATCAGCATCAACAGATGATCAGCAGGAGCTGCATGTCAAGAACAACCAGCTCTGAATTTAATTTCTCACTTTGTTATCAATGTTTTTGTATCTGACATGCACGCAGATTTCCCCTGTTTAGTTTAAATATTCAGTTTCTTCATTTTGTACCTTGTTTTTTTTTAAACCCTCAGCAGCCTAGACTTCCATTCAAAGTAGTTTTTCTCCATTATTCATGTCAGTTTAACCAAAGATATCTTACCCATCTGAAGAAGATTGTGAATTAATTATGAAGGAAATTGAACATGTTAAAGGGAGAAGTATCATGATTTGTGGTGAGGGAATCACATCCTAATTTTGTTGTGGTGCAGGAGCTGAATTACACAGTGACTCAGAGGGTGAAGAGGAAGCTGAGATGTCTGTAAAAGATTGGCTGCTCAGTCTGGTGGTGAGAGGCTCCGAAGCGGCAAAGTCTTCAGCAGAAGTCGAGGAGCGGAAACTGCAGAGAGACAGTGAGAGTTTTTGTGTGGTGGAGAATAACAAAGAAAAAAAAGGTTCTTTGTTTCACATTTTTGTGCAGCTCATCTCCAAAATTAATAACATTTTCACATTCAGGATCCCCAGGTGAAGCAGCCACGGTTGTCAGATTTGCAATTAGTCTAGGAGTGGGATCGCACTTTTACAAAACTCTGTTGCCTCCTTCCGTCAGTGATATAAATATATAATGGTGGAGCTTCGTTCGTCAGATCATCTACATTGAGTGGAAACCGATGGCACAGATTGTTCCAGATTAATGAGCTTTGATGAAACAGGCGTTAAGAAGTGCAGTATCAATCCAATGGAAAATGCAAGAATCGCATCAACATTTGACGTTTAACTCAAGACAGTGAACAAAAGATCAATTATATCAAGAGATAAAGACCTGGTTAAGGCAGGATTATCAGAGGAATTAACAACTGAGCTGCAGTTAAGACTAAGCTTCAGATTTTTAAATGACACTATATGCAGATGACTACCTTTGTGCAGGTGGATGTAGTTGATGATGAAACATAAAATTAATTGAAAAAGAAACAACTGTGCCAATCATAGTTAAGAATTTAGATTTAAGTCGTTTCCTGGTAAAATACTACTAATAAAATACTACTGAAGTACTCTGTATACTGATAGTGAATTTTACTGATATGATGGTTTCTCACCTGCTGCTCTTCTTCAGAACCCCTCCAGAAGCTCGTCTCTGAGACCATGGCACGGTGGACTAAAGACAGTGACATGGAAGACCCTGAACTGGTCAGAGCTGTCTTCTCACTGCTGCACCGCCAGTACCAGGGTCTTAGTGGTCAAATGTCAGGGCCTCTGACCAGAGCCTACACCATCAGCCAGGCCTCCGTGGACGACACCACGGCTCTTCTCTCGTCTCTGGCCCAGATCCGCTCCCTGCTCAGTGTCCGCATGGGGAAAGAAGAGGAGAAGCTGATGATCAGAAGACTTGGGTAATGTCAGGATTAGCATTTGATCACCGCGGCGTGACTGTCAGCACATCTTCATGATGGCGATGTTCCGTAACCAGAACCATGGATTAATTTCTTGCGCATGAACTTCATTCTAAGCTCTTTGGTGTGGAAACGATTCTCACAGTTGTTTTGTATTATTGTGCACAGAGACATCATGAATAATAAAGTTTTCTATCAACACCCGGATCTAATGAGAGCGCTGGGGATGCATGAGACGGTGATGGAGGTGATGGTTAATGTTCTCGGGGAAGGAGAGTCAAAGGTGAGAGCATGGTTAAAAAAAATGGAGAAATGTTTGTAACTTGAACCATTTTGCTTCGCCAATTTGGATGAAATAGAAATTCAGCATTTAATTTAGAAACATATTTCAATGTTTACTTATCAGGCTGTCATCTGGAGTGCAGGCAGGCCAATCAAAAACAAGTTCTCCATGTCCAGAGAGCCACAGATAGGCAGGCCAATCAAAAAGTTCTCCATGTCCAGAGAGCCACAGATTTGTAATTTCTACAGAAACACCCATGGAGTTTGTGTAAAAACGATCTTTAAAACAAAACAAAACAAAAAAAAAATAGTTTGGTCAGATCCACCTTAGTTTTGTTAATCAAGTCTAAATCATGTTTTTTTAAGTGCTTAAAATATTTTTTTTAATTTTAGGAGATAGTCTTCCCCAAGATGGTGGCGAGCTGCTGTCGGTTCCTTTGCTATTTTTGTCGCATCAGTCGTCACAACCAGGGGGCGCTGTTCGAGCATCTGAGCTACCTGCTGGAGAACAGCAGTGTTGGACTGGGTAACCCACTGCTTATGTGTACAGTGTATTTGTAAACAAATAACATTATAAATATTTTTTAGATCTTTGATAAGATAACAGATGTTGTTACGATTTTATTTTGCTAAAAAGAAGATGAGACTGAGAGTTGGTTGGACATTTAGTTAAAGACTCCATCATCTTAACATTTATATTTCATTTCTTTTCCACTCCCGTCCTTCAGCGTCACCGTCCATGCGTGGAGCCACTCCTCTGGACGTGGCTGCGGCCTCTGTAATGGACAATAACGAACTGGCCTTAGCACTGAAGGAACCAGACCTGGAGAAGGTGAACCTCCACTCTGCACCACCCTCTTCACTCCATCCTACAACTAACGTCATCATCCACAGGCTGTTGCTGCGGAGATTTACCCTGTGTGGGAGTCACACTGGGGCAAAAAAAACCCACAATTTTCTGGATCAGATTTTCAGGGAGACAAACACAGTAGTACTCCATTAATGTAGTTCTAAGTCATGTCATGTCATCTAAGGTGGTGCACTACCTGGCCGGCTGTGGTCTCCAGAGTTGTCCACTGCTGCTGGAGAAAGGCTACCCTGACATTGGATGGAACCCCGTGGAGGGAGAGCGATACCTGAACTTTCTGCGTTTCGCTGTTTTCTGCAATGGTAACGTCAGTCACTGCATCTCTGCGTGAGAATTTGTACAGTATATGATGAGGTACAAAGAATACACAGCAGTTCTTTGTAAAAAAAAATACTCTCTATATATTTATATTCTTATAAAAACATGATGGCTGAATGGATTTTATGAAGACCTCCCTTGAAGGCTGAATGCCGTCCCTGACTACTACTACTACTACTACTACTGCGACTCACACAAGTTTCTTCCAGGTGAGAGTGTGGAAGAGAACGCCTACGTGGTGTTGAGACTGCTGATCCGTCGGCCCGAGTGTTTCGGTCCTGCGCTGCGAGGTGACGGAGGTCATGGCCTCCTGGCAGCCATGGAGGAGGCCATCAACATCTCTGAGGACCTGACCATGGACGGACCCTGTCCAAAAACCCAGAGCAGCAGAACACAGTCAGTCGATGTGTGCAGAGGAGGAATTTAGGATCAGGATTCTCTGAGATAATATATGGATTAGATTAAAGTTCAAGATTTGAAGGATTCAACACGGATTAGATTAGATTAGAAAATGAGAATAAAGTTCAAGATTTGAAGGATTCAACATGGACGCTCTGTTTTCCTCCCTCTTTATTGCAGTGATACTGATCATTTTTTACGAGTGAATCTGAGCAACTGAACAATTTTTATTTATGATGCTTTGGTGTCCTCATCATCAACCTTTTGTGATTGTGATTATCTCCTGTAACAGGGCTGCTGCTCAGGAGCGTGATGATGAGGATGTGGTTCACATGGGTCACGCCATTATGAGCTTCTATTCAGCCCTGATTGACCTGTTGGGTCGATGTGCTCCGGAGATGCACGTGAGTTTTTCTTCTTTTTAGTTGTGTTCCTTATCAACTGATTTGCTAAACAACAAAGACTGTAGAGACAATAGACATCGACTTGGCTGAAGGTGACTAACAGAAGGATGTACATCAAGACAAAGGTCAATATTTAGTTGTTGGTGGTGAGATTGTTAATAATTCAGCTGCACCAAAGTCAAATCCCAGTTTATTTTAATCATGCTTCATTGCAGAAATGAAATGAAATTTTAATTTGAAGAATTTAACCCTGCAAGTCTTAGACTGAAACATTTCTCGAGGCAGCTCGTGATTGCCAACAACGGTGCCTGATTAAAATAGGCCATTTAAGTGGAGTTGATTGATTTTTTTTTTTTTTTCCTTTGGCAGCGGGTGTAAGTGCAATTGCTAAACATGACATTTTCTTTGTGCTGCCTCTATTTAGACACCAAAACAGTTCAATGTTACTGACATG